CGAAGTGCCGAGGCAGTGCCTGTCGGCTTTGAACAGGGCAGTTGAATGGGGGTTGAAAGTTGGTCGCGTGGTCTTTGCTCTATGCTTTTTGGGAAAATGCTGGTCGATGATAACCTGGGCAGAATGCTTGCCTTCGACTTCAGCATCCCTGCTTGGATGCCTAAGAGTTACGTTCTGCCGCTCCCAAAACCACGGTGGAAGCTCCTTGCCAGGTGCCAAATAACAAAAAAGCTTCCAACCAAAATGCAAAAGGCAGAATGCAAAAGGAGTGCCAAGACTTCTTGGCCTTAGACTTCTGGAAACAAACCAACCGTTAACCCCAACAATCCTGCAATCAATCATGCAATGATACTTCATCTTTAACAATCTTCAAGGATCCTTTGATCTTCCAAGGCCAGCCTCTCTCACCGGTGCCCCAACCAACGCTCCTGCAAAGGTACGGCATCCAGCTCGATGGCCGCGGCCCACACCAGCCGTTGTTGCGGAGTGAGCCAAGCCCAGCTGAGCGCCTCCCGCGCCAGGCAGCGCAAACGCTCCATGAAGGCCGCGTCGCGGTCTTCCGGGCCTCGAGACAAGGCCAGTGGGTGCCGAAAATGTGTATGCGCCCACGACGTATGGATTGCTGTTTTGGCCACGGAAGGGCCAGCACAACGCTTCCCCACTGATCACAACGAGCATCAATTACCAAAACAATCCAAAACACACCTGGATCTCACTCCGCCTACTGCTTGCAAGAGTCTCACTGCAACAGTCTTTGCCGTCACAGCATGTGGCACCAGCGAACCGCCCGTCCTCCTGGCAGCTCAACTGGGAACCCGAGAGAGCATCCTGGAATCCCGGCTTGTGTTCCAAAAGGCTCACTTGATACAGCAGTCAGTGTTGGAAATAATATTTGCTTCATTGGCACCTAATCTGCTTCAAGTTGCCTTAAAAATGGGTCCTTCTCAGTCTCGGGAGCGCTCCAGGACCAAGACCAACCGGATCCATCCTCCACCCCGCAAAGCCGACATCCATCCTCTCAGCCATCAGCCGCATCGCGCCCAAGACCCCGACCAGGCCGAGGAGAAGGTGGCTGCCACGGCGTCCCCGCCTTCGCTGTGCCATCAGGGCCCATCAACGAGGTGCTTCTCAACCGCCCCACAGGAGTACTCCCGAAGGCTGGGCGGCAGCACTCTGCGCTTGGGCCAGTGGCTGCATGGCACTTTTAG